CTTAGACTATCACCCATGGTTCTGGACTGCTTGGTTATCAGGAACATCCTCCTTGTGTTTACCCTGTCTCGCCCTGTTTGAGTATTATAGGTTTCTACGAGATTTCCCTAATTCTTCTAAACTCCAGCGAATATAGTCCAAATTGATCCAGTCTCACTTCATGCCAGGAATCAGTCCATAATCGGAAATACAGAAAAATAAAAACATTGGCCTTTATATATTTTACTGGACACCTTCTCACATCTTATGAAATGGTTCACTAGCACAACTCAACATTCTCATGGAATAGAGAGAATGTGAACTTGGAATTTTTTACTGTTTTGAAGAATATTTTCTAACAAGAGTGATTGGATTTCATCTCCTCCTCTGTAGCAAGAACAGTAAAGTATTACAAGCATCAAACATTTCCATATTATGTTGTTGTAGTAATGTACTTCGCTATCATGAGCAGTTACACATCTCATTACTAAAGTGCCTTATCCTCACCCTGCCCTTTTCTCTCAGTTAAGATCAATTCCACTGTTCCAGAGTTAGGGATGAGAATATTAGTGAAGTTGCTATGCTGATGCTTATCAAGGCTGTTGCTGCAAACTTGGACTGTAGGTGAAATCAGTTTTGTGCTCAATTGCTATGCTAGCTGGTATATGTGAAAGTTAACCCAGCATGTGTCAGATTATATAAGTTGCACTTATTAGCATTAAAAATTAAAGTTAATATATTTATTTGCCTCCTCAATGTTCTTGACTTTGGTTATTTGTTCTCAGGATCCAGCTGTTGTTGGCAAGACTGGCATTTATTGCCCAAATGCCCAACCCTGATGGCTCTTCAGAATGTGGTGGTGAGCCACCACCATGACCTGCATCGTCCCTGTGGTGAACGTGCTTCCTGCAGTGCTGCTTGGGAGTTCCAGGATTTTAACTCCGTAACAATAAAGGAACAGTTGATGCATGTCCAAATTGGGATGGAGTGTGTGACTTGGAGGGGAATTTATGATGGTGTTCCTATGCAATGTACAGCACCATTCACAACTCCTCAGATACTGAAGCAGTCCACACAACTGCAACAATATCTGGACAATATCTAAGCTTGGGCCGACAAGTGGCGAGTGACATTCGCACCATGCAAATGCCAGGCAATGACCATCTCCAATAAGCAACAATTTAATCAATGCCCCTTGACATTTGATGGCGTTACCATCACTGAATCCCCCAGTAATAAACATCCTGGGGGTTACCATTGACCAGAAACTTAACTGGACTAGTTATAAAAACACATTGGCTACAAGAGCATGTCAGAGGGGCTAGGAATACTGCAGCAAGTAACTCACCTCCTGACTCCCCGAAGTCTGTCCACCACCTACAAGGCACAAGTCAGGAGTGTGGGGGAATACTCCCCACTTACCTGAATGGGTGCAGCCCCAACAACATTCAAGAAGCTTGATACCATCCAGGACAAAGCAGCCACTTGATTGGCACCACATCCACAAACATCCCACTCCCTCCACCACCGACACACAGTAGCAACAGTGTATACTATCTACAAGATGCACTGCAGAAATTCACCAAAGATCCTTAGACAGCACCTTCCAAATCTGACCATTTCTATCCAGCAGGTCAAGGCAGATACATGGAACACTACCACCTGAAAGTTTGCCTCCAAGCCACTCACCATCCTGACTTAGAAATATATTACTGTTCATTCATGGCATTATGAGTCAACCTACAGCACATGGACTGCAGCGGTTCAAGAAGGCAGCTCACCACCACCTTCTCAAGGGGGAACTAGAGATGGGCAATAAATGCTGGCCATCCAGTGATGGCCACATCCTCCTCTATGTGAATAATCAAAAAATGCACCTGCTCTCCTTATTTTTCAAGGTGTTGGTAGCTGCAGGTTTGAAAAATGAGTGACTATCCTGTGCTCTCCATCAGCTTTCCCATTCTTCACATGCAGTTTAGATAGAGGACATCAATTCAGTAATTCAAGAAGGCAGTGCACCACCACCCTGTCAAGGGGAATGAAGCATGGGCAGTAAATGCTGGTCTAGCCAGCAACTTTCCACATCCTGTGAAAGAATAAAAATAAAAGCATGTTCCCAACATTTTCATCACTGAATCTGATTATAGTGCCCAGTTACCACACTGAATTGGTCAATTCAACACACATTGTAACCTTCTTTTAAAGATTTGATTAAGCTTGCATGATGCCTAAGGGGGTAAAATACAATATTCACCCAGATCAGAAATCTCCAGCTCTCACAATTACACATGAGGAAGGAGACTTCACCGAATTTTTCTAAAGGGATCCAAATGGTATGTCATGTTTCTGAAACAATAATACACTACATAGCTAAGAAAAATTGTTGCACTTCTGTATTCTAATTTGCACCCAGTCCCATTCACCCCTCACTTTTTTGCACACTACCCTGCATGTTTCCCTGTTCGAGATGTGCCTTGATTTTAAAAATTCTCATCCTTGAGTTTAAGTACCCACCTTAGTCTTGTCCCTGTATACCTCTGAACTATCTACAGCTCTGCAACACTCAGAATTTCTGCACTCCTATTCTGGTATATTGTGTAACCTGACTTTAATCACTTTAAACACCAAAGGAAGTGATGGCCTAGTGGTGTTATCTCTGGACTGTTAATCCGGGGACCCAGATAACATTCTGGGGACCTGGGTTCGAATCACGCCACGGCAGATGGTGGAATTTGAATTCAATAAATGTCTGGAATTAATCTAATGATGACTGTGAATCCATTGTCAATTGTCAGGAAAAACCCCTCTGGTTCACTAATGTCCTTTAGGGAAGGAAACTGCCATCCTTACCTGGTCTGGCTTACATGTGACTCCAGACCCACAGCAATGTGGTTGCCTCTTAACTGCCCTCTGGGCAATTAGGGATGGGCAATAAATGCTGCCTAGCCAGGGACACCCTCATCCTGTGAATGACTAAAGAATAAAGCTGTACTTTCAGTTTATCTAGACCCTAAGAGTAAACTACTCTCCCTGCTTTTCTCAACATGTGTACCATTTTCTCCTGCTTTAAGTCATTCCTTAAAGCCTATCTTTGACTAAGATTTGGTCACTTGCTTTTATGTGGCTTATTGTCAAATTTTATTGTTTGACACTCATGCAAAGCATTTTGGGGCATTTTGCTATGGTAAAGGAGTGCATAAGTGCAAGCTGTTGTTGTTCATTTAGTTGAGGAAGAATCTTCTGCAACCATAAATGTGTTTTGTAACCACAGCAAGTATTGTTAAATTTATCACAATCTTTTAGGGAGCATCTTGGACTGGTTTGTCATGGTACACATATGTTGGCTGCTAATCAGGTCGCCTTAGAGTAGGTTTCACCTTAACTAGTTTATTACAGATGCAAAACAGCAAGGAAGCACTTGGAAAAATATTGCTGGGTGTATTCAGTTGTGAAGTGGTTCCAACGGTTCTGTTTCTAAAAACAGCAATGATTTATATGCAGTTAAACTTAACCCTTCCTGCGCTTATCAACATGATTTGATACACAACAGGAAACAGCTGGTACTCTTCCAAACAGCTCAACTTGTTTTAATTAGTCCTGTAGGATCAATTTTTGACATGTTTTTCTCTGAAAGTTCTTTTAGTATTGCGGCGCCTTTCATTGTGCTTCTATTCTGTTTGGCAGTGTTTTATAAAAATATTCTTTGATGGGGCGTTTGAAAATGTACCTTTCATATTTGGTATAGTTGCAAATTTTAGGCTGTAGATCAGTGGTTCAAGGAGCAGGAACCTGCATCTCAAATCTCTGTGGTGCTACACAGGAATGCTTCAATTTTCAGTGCTCTTTTCCTTTATAGTTACATAGAACACAAAGCACAGAAACAGGCCATTTGGCTGGACTGCTCTTTATTGGGATTTATAGTCTACAAAAACCTCCTGCCATCTCACTTCATCTCACACTATCGGTATAGCTTTTTTTTCTGGCATCAATGTACTGTTCCCTCTCACCCCACCCCAAATTGTTTTGGCAAAGACATTGCTTCAGGTGCTTGGCTCCTTCGAGCACAGGGCAATGACTCATGTATATGCCTTAATTGTCCCATTCAATGCCCGACTAGTGTAATCCTTTCTTTGCCTTGTGCAGATAAATGGAAAGGATCCCTGGAGTAGTAATCAAAAGCAGGATCCTTACCTGGATCTCCCCCTTCCCTAAACCTTGAAACCACCATAGAATCCCTACTGTAATCCTACTCAGACTGCATTGAGCCTTTGACTTGATTGGCAGCATTCAGTTTGCTCAGCAGATCAATTTACAGAACACTTGAGGGCTTTAAAATATTCCAAGGCACTATATTGAAGAAGAGCATGAATGTTCTGAAGAAGGGTCACTGGATCTGAAATGTTAACTCTGCTTTCACTCTGCAGATGCTGGCAGACCTGAATTTTTCCACAATATCTGATTTTTTTTTTTGTGAATGTTCTTGCTGGTGTCCTAGTCATCATCTGACATACTAAAACAAATTATCTGATCGTTATCGTGTTGCTGTTTGTGAAAGTTTGCAGTGTTGCAAATTGGCTGCAGCTTTTCTCACATTACAACAGGGACCATACTTAAATGTATTTTGTTGTAAAGAGCTTTGAGACATCCTAAGGGTTGTGAAAGGGGATATAGAATGCAAGTTTGTCTGTCTTATTGACATCTAACCTTCAGACTGACGAGTTCATTTCAAAATCCATATAAAATAATTTATATAAAATCCTTCCGTCCCTTCTGTTTCAAGAAGCATATCCTGAAGAAGTAGATTTGCAACTTAAATAAAAGTGGAATTACTATTTGGAAAGGTGCAGTATATGATTTATTGTTGTGATCACGCAGGTTATATTGTGCTTGTGGATTTACATATCAATCCATATGTTCTTTGAGTGGAAAGTGCAAATTCTATTCATCAACTTATTTTCTTTTACTAAGATATGTTGTTAATTGCTTCCACCAAGCCTAAAATGAAATGTGTTTTCTTGCAGGTTCCCAAATTATTGACTTGATGATGTTGGTAATTGATGTGACAAAGGGAATGCAAACGCAGTCTGCGGAATGTCTGGTGATTGGCGAAATTACATGTCCCCGGATGGTGGTGATCCTGAATAAGATTGACCTTCTACCAGAGGCAAAGAAACAAGTGGCTATAGACAAAATGACAAAGAAAATGCAGAAGACACTGGAGAATACAAGGTAATCCCACCTGAAGTACAATCTGGGTGTCTCTGTTTGGTGCATGAAGTTAAATATCTGCTGTGATCTTTTGAATGGCACACAGATTTGAGAGGACAAACTCATGGCAAATAAATAAGCAAATGTGGAATTTACAAAAAAAAGTCTGACAATATCTTGAGAGAGATATACATGTTTTAGAAGCTTTCTTTAACACTGTCTTATTTGATTTGTGAACATAGTTCAATCTTTTCTTGAATCAGAGATGGTAGGAACTGCAGATGCTGAAGAATCCGAGACAACAAGGTGCAGAGCTGGATGAACACAGCAGGCCAAGCAGCATCATAGGAGCAGAAAGGCTGATGTTTCGGGCCTAGACCCTTCATCAGAAATGGGGGAGGGGAAGGGGGT